AGTATTTTGTTTTTTTGTTCGTTTAGTTTTAGACCGTTTGCGATCATATGTTTGGTGAGAACCTCGGTGAATCTTACGATTTCTGTTAGGTTGTTCGCAATGAGGAGTAGGTCGTCCGCAAAAGCGAGCACGGTGGGCAGTTCGAAGTTAGTCAAGTCATTGTCTAGTTGTAGTCCCGGTATTTCGGCTGTCGTCTGGTTAAGGATGTGGTGGAGCGCTAGTGTGAATAGTCGCGGTGATAAGGGGCAACCTTGTTTTACTCCTTTTGTTTTCCGGTATAGTTTTGTGGTCTGACCGAACCATTGTACGCACGTGTATTATTTCAAGCAGGCCGATTCAATTCGTTCTATCAGCCATTGAGGGGTGTTCACTGCGTTTAAGGCTTCTATGATTGCTGTGTGTTTAATTTTGTCGAAAGCTTTTTCTATGTCATAGGTTACAACATATATCTTTTTCCCTCTACGCCATGTTTCTTCCATTATTCGTCTGGCGCTGAATATGTGGTCGTGCGTGGACCTGTTCGCTATAAATCCTGCCTGATAGTACGGGATGGGTTCCACTAGTTCGTCCAAGGCTTTTAATATGTACCGAGCATATATTTTGTAGCCTACACTACATAGTGTAATTTTTCTATAGTCCGATGTGTTTTTCGCGTTGCGAATCTTTGGGATGGGAATTTGTTTAGTGTATAGCCAATCCCGAGGTACTTCGTTATTTTTCCAAATATGTGCCAGTAGGTTTGTTAGTAAGTCAATTAACTCTTCCGGGGCCTCCTTAAGTAGCTCGTTTTGTAAAAGGTCAATGCCCGGGGCGGAGTTTGCGCGTAGTTTTTGCACCGTCTGTACAGTAAAGCTTCGCTCTGGGGGGCTGGTTAGGGGTGTGTGGTCTGACGCTGGGCTTTTAAGTATGTGAGGGGCGTTGACGTCTACTTCCCCTTGCCCGAGTTCCTTTTCCCAGGTAGCGAGGGGGATATATGTAGTGTGCGCTTGATTACGTGTCCGTCTGAATTGTTTGATAAATTTGTATGTTTGCGAGATTCTTTTGGCAGGCTCGTAGTCATTTAAGTTGTTAAAAAAATTGTAGCATTTGGCAATTTTGTTTTCGCGTAGTGCATTGTTTTTTTCTGCTATCGCGTTGCGTTTTGTTTGGGCCGTTTGTGTGTTCGGGTTTCGTCTGTGTTGTTCCGACGCCTTTTTTGACTTGTCTAGTAATTTTTTGATGTTACTGGGGAGCGGTTCTGACGGTTTATTAAGAGTGAGGTTTGCCGCTACCTGTAGACTTTCTTTAATGATAGTCCATGTCTCTGATACGTTATTAAGGTCGGGATTGTGTGTTAGTAATATCTCTTTTACCGCGTTTTTGTAGTTAAGATTGTCAGTAGGGTCTTTTAAACGCTCAGTATACCATTTTGTCGGTTTTATTGTGGGGGACTGATAGTCTTTATCGTTTATGGCTGGCGTCTGTATCAGGTCGCAATAAAGTAATTTATGATCTGTCTTTATGTCGCGTAGCCAGGTAGCTTTGCAGGGTTTGTATAGGAACCCGGTAGTGCTGTTTCGAAGCATGTGGTCAATTTGCGATTCGGTTGCTTTGGTTCGCCATGTTGTTAGTATTGACTTGTGTTTTGAAAAGGTGTTGTGAATATTTAGCTTGAACAGCTGAGCCAGGTTAATAAGCTCTTGCCCGTTTTCATTGGTTTCGCTGTGTATTAATTGCCTGCCTACCGTGTGTTTATCTTTGTCTGTGTGTAATGCTTTCCCTAGATGTGCGTTAAAGTCCCCTATAACTACCATTGACCCTTTTTTGTTGTTTATGTCTATTTGTTTTGTTAACTCGCTGAATGTCTTCATGTTACGTTTGTCCGACGGAATGTGTGTGGATATTACGCATAGTCTCTTTTTATTACAAGCCAGGACTATTGTTGCAATGCTGTCTGAGATGGGGTAGAATTTTGTCGTTTGGAGGGCCTTACATCGTCTTAGGAGTATCGCTACTCCCCGTCGAGTCGAATTGTTTTCTCCTCCGCTTAAGTACCAGTCGTACGTGTTTGTTTTTGCGCGGCCGGTTGTCATGAATGTTTCTTGGAGTGCTATTATGTCTAGGTTTAGTTGGGATAGTGTGTCATCGATTATTTCTCTCTTTTCTACTTGCCTACAGCCCCTTACGTTTAGTGTCCCTATTTTTATCTTGAGTTGTTGTGTACTACTGTCTAAAGTTGTCGCCCCGTTTCCGGTCGATTGTGTTTGTGTGTATTCCCCGTTGCCGCAGGCTCTTATGTTGGTTATTTTTCCTACCTCTGTTAGGCAGGGCACCGAGGCCTGTGTCCATGTTGGCCAGATGTGTATTATACTATCGTAGTGGTTGTAAGTTCCTGACCTGCCTAGTCTGTAACAAATTGCGATTGACCGGTTGCTATTGTTATGTCTGAAGGATATCTTATCAGTACGCCCCTGTTCGTGATGTATTTCGATTGCGACGTTAAATATGTCTGATGCTGCTATTATTGTTTCTAGACCCAGCCAGAAGCCGTTTTGTGCGTGGTCCTTTAAGTACGCCTCTATTTTGCGTTCCCAGTCGTTAATATGCGCGTAGCGGTGGGGTTGGTCAAGGATCGCATCCTGTAAGTATGGGCTGTAAGTCTCAATGTGTGTTCGTAAGTGGTTATTTAGTCTTTGTCTTAATGCGTATGTATTTATTGACCCTGTCAGGCTATTATCTAGTTGATGGGCCAAGCTGGCCACTAAGCAATTTCCGTCGGATGGAATTTTAATTATTCCCACCGAATGATCGCTCGTGTTTACTAATTCCATGTTTGTTTGGTTTGTGTTTATTATTATTTATGTTTTGGCGTTTATTTATGGAATTAGTCAAGTGTTTATTTGGGGGATGGAGTCTTATCTGCCTTTTCTGTTTTGTTTATGTAATGACTTGTGTGGTCTGTCTAATAGGAATGTTTAATTTCTGGTGCCAGCTGGGAACTTAAAATTCCTTTTCGAAATATGATACGTTTTACTAGATTTTTTGAAATAAAATGGTTTGTTATTAGACATGCAGTTAGAAAAATTACTTAGCTTGGATATTCGGCTATAATACTGATGCTCGGTCTTTCTCGGTCTGTCCGATGTTTCTGGGCCTCCCTGCAGGTTCTTGATAGGTTTTGGTTGTGACTATCCCTTCTGACCAGGTGGACCGTTGGCCTTTATTACTTATTCAATTGCACTCTTTTACGGCTTTAATGGGAGATCTCCCACTCTTCACACTTGTTTCACTTTTTTTTTGCACTTGTTGCACTCTTTTTGCACTTGTTGCCCTTATCACACTTTCCGCACTTGAATGTTATTTATTTATTTATTTATTTATTTATTTATTACCGATAACCGATATTTCCGAATACTTTGGTTTGTTTTTGGAACTTTATTATATTTCTCTCGTATACGCTGCTAGGAGAGGTCTCTTTAACCACTTGACACGTCTATCCACTTCGGATGTCCCGACGCAACTGGGTCACACTGTATATATATATTGACAAAAAGTACAGAATAACATTTAGATTACATTGCGACTCAAAATGCCTATTTTAATATTATTATTTTATTTCATTATATATAATATGTATACAGATGTACACACTGACAAACACAAATAGGTAGGATTCAAACCCAGCTCTCTTAAAATGAATTATTCAAAAATGACTAATTGTGATAGCGAAAAAGCCGCCACTTATAATTCTAGTAAACAGAAATTTGTATACCGGACATTTAGCAATCAATTTCTATGTAAAATTATTCGCTAAATCCAAAAATTCCTTCAAAATTTATAAAATTAGAACCGTTTTTGAGATATAGTAAATTTTTCATGTAATATGGAATTGAAATTATCTCAAAAACTGCTCTACTTTCATAAAGTTACATAGGAATTGACTATGTTCATAGGATACAAATTGCTTTGGAAAACAGTTATTAGTGGCTGCTTTTTCGCTATGACAATTAGTCATTTTGACTAATTCATTTTAAGAGACATTATAGTTAAAAAAAAACCTTCAGCTTTAAACAATATTTTAATTAGAGCATCTAAAAATATATGTATTTAACAGTTTTATATATTTTTAAATATCTAAGATCACTGAACAATACAATTAAATATAATATTACATATTATATTATAATTACAAATCGTAGAACTATTATTAGTACAGATTTTTATTTCATACTGTATTAATTAACATCATTTGCAAATGCTTTTTATTTTGACCCATTGGCATGAATCTTAATTAAAAACAAACAAAACTGATTTTTAAACCAATTGCAAACAAAGCAAATTTTATTTTTGCATGGGTGTTTACTATGGTTTTAAAATTTCCGAAAAAAAACAGGGTTTTTTCGGAAATAAAACAGGGTTTTTTCGGAAATAAAACAGAAAAATTGGGACATTTTTAGAAAAATTGACTTTTGCTGTTTTTTATTTTATTCAAAGCGTAATAAGGGCAAAAGTCAATTTTCCTGAACATTTTTAAATTTTTACGGATAATAAACTAATATCAAGAAAAAAGTATATTTTTAAGTCTGATTATAATCATATACCTACATACAATATATTATTATAATAATAATTTTTATTATTATAATTCAGTTAAAATATTCTACCCTGTCGCAAAAAACGAAAAAAAAACAATTTTTCCAGTTTTTTTTTCGACACTTTAAAACCCTAGTATTAACATACATTGGTGTACCAAAATACCTTATAAGTGTCTTGGTAGGCGTAATCATAATATTTCTTAACATTTTATTCCATCCTTTGAAAATAAATAAAATTTATGTGGACAGTCAAGTGCTACCATAATAACATTATATAGTATATTATATTGTGATTTAAGGAAACATCGAACCATCCGTTGTTATGGTTAACAATAGCCAATTTGGTCGAATGATAGAATTGGACCTCCTGGTTGCAGGAGCTCGCTGGGCCGCCACAGTAAGTAAGCATCGTACTTACTGCATTAGTATCTCTTGAGGCTTGGAACAAGACGGGCTCCGGTGCAGGAGGTGACTTAAGATCGAAGTGCGCGTTATGATTTTTTAAAATTAAGTGTTTTTTCTATAGAAGTTCACCATGCAGCTAAATTTATTTTATTTATTTGTACATAGTCTTGGGATTATTTTATTGTGTAAGTTTCCATTTCGAGAAAATGTAATATTTGTACAAACGGATTTTTTAATAAAAATTTAATTTTAAATTATTATAAGATAAGAACACATTTAAATTGATTATTATGTTGGTATTATTCATTTATTTTCATAAAATTGTTCATTAAAGTTTTCAGAAATTATAAATTTTAAAATTAGAAAATGTACTATTTTAATGCTTAGATATGATATAAAAATATGAAAAGGGCAAAAAAGGAATATAATATAATAATAATATTAAAAGTAAAATTAGTTAAATTAAGGATAAATAATAGAAATTAAACATATTAATTTTAACATTTTTTATTCAGAGTTCAAATAATAATTGAAGCGGTACGATTAAGAACAAAGTCCAAATTTAATATTTTGACAAATTACACTGACAGAAAAGAATATTTTTAACAAACGTTGCAAATGTTTGAGCCTGATAGCTTTGAATCAAACAACTGAAATTTGATTCAAAATTAGTGCTTTTGCTTAGAAATGGTTGATTTGTTTAGGGTGCTGTGTTTGCTTGGAATATTATTAAGTTCTATGCAAACTTTGTACTGATAGTCATTAAGATTGGTTTTTTTACGTTTGAATAAAATTTATGTAATACATAATACATACTATGTTTCCATAAAACGTGCAATATTTTCCAATAAATTTTATTAATGGGTTAACTTAAATAGATAAAACTTATTATAAATCTGCTACCATTTTTGCGAAAAGCTCAGCATTTAATAAGTTTGTGGCAAACATATCAAAGTTAATTGGTAATTGTGCTTAGTTTGGAAAGGGCAATTTTTGGAGTGGAGGAACGCGTCTTCTGGTGCAAGTACAGTGTCTTATAAAGTTTTAAATTTGCCTTATACATACGGTTCTTATAAAATAATTTTGCTTCCATGCAAACATTTGGATGACACGGCATAACGTTTAAGAATTTTGTATAAATCGTCGGCCTTATCACGAAGTGGCCTAACCCACAAAATTGAAAACAGTGACATTTTGCGAGAGTTAACTTACGATGGTCTATTTTATTACTCCACGAGGTGGCCTATAGTACAAAGTCTGTACTATAAAAATACATTTCTTGATAATAGAGTAAACCATTGTAAGTTAATCTGCGAAAAATCTCATTTTGTTTTTCAATTTTGTGGGTTAGGCCACTTCGTGATAAGGCCAACGATTTATACAATATTCTTAAACATTATGCTGTTTCTTCCAAAGAAACAGTAATTTCTTCAGAAATGCACGTACGTTTAATGGAAATGAACTTAATTGGTATACCAATTATACCAATTTTTCCTAAAATTAGTAAGTTTAAGGCAAACCTACATACATTCAGACAAAATCGACTATACTGGTAGCAAGCAATTGCCAATTTATCAGAAAAGTATTCAACAAAGAATTCAAACTCAGCAAATTTGACACAAATCTAGATGCGTTTCGTTCAAAAGCAGTTTTCCGGAATCGCCAAAGTGATGGTTTTTTACCATTAAACCTTGGTATATTCCGCCGTATTTAAATATGTCATACGTTTGAATCAAACTTTATGCCTTTCGCTGAAATAAAACCTTCTCTAAGTATTAAATATATTTAATAAAATCAGTTTTATATTTCAAATGCATTTTTGTGAGAATATTTATATACTAAAATTGTTTTAACCGTTTTCTATCCTGAATTTTATAATTATTATATAGGATAGGATAGCTCTGGGGCGGTGAAAGGAATAAAAAAAATATTTTTTTTTCACCAAAATATTTATTTTTATAATAGACAATTTCTATATACATGTATTTTTAAAATTGAAAACACCTGCAGGTGTTTTCAATTTTAAAAATATTCATATTTCGCACAATTTTGTGGATTTCATTTACATGCTATAAAAAATATAAGATATTTTGCATGCTCATTTTGATTTCTATGAAAAACAACTTTCAACCGAATCCGATTAAGCTGGTGAACGATTTTATTAAACTATTATGTTATTTGAAGATCGGTTTTCTGGCAAAATATCCGACTTGATGCTTGCTGATTTTTATTGGTCAATCCCCAAGAGGCATACAATTATGTATGTATTTTTTTTTAAATATTTTTACAACTTATTTAAGTAAGTTTTTTATTTTTCTGAAACCAAAATTAATTTTCACATTTTTTACCATGGCAAAATAAATATAAATAAATATAAATTAATATAAATAAATATAAATAAATATAAATAAATATAAATTAATATAAATAAATATAAATAAATATAAATAAATATAAATAAATATAAATAAATATAAATAAATATAAATAAATATAAATAAATATAAATAAATATAAATAAATATAAATAATAAATATAAATAATAAATATAAATAAATATAAATAAATATAAATAAATATAAATAAATATAAATAAATATAAATAAATATAAATAAATATAAATAAATATAAATAAATATAAATAAATATAAATAAATATAAATAAATATAAATAAATATAAATAAAGACATTTTATGTTTTAGTGAGGTTAATTTTAATAGCTTTCTACCTTAAACTGACAAAAAAATAAAGCCATTAGATGTTTTATACGATTAGTTCTAATATTTTTTGGAAATAAATCAATTTTACCTACTAAATTTTTTAAGTGAAATTGGCTAAAAACGTTAATTAATATTTTCGTGTCTTTTTGGTATTTCTAAAAATATAAAAAAATAATAAACCAAAAAAGTTACAAACTTAAATATAAAATATCTTAAGAAAACGAGCATTAAAAAAACTACACCACTGAATTCTACGCTTAAAAATTAACTTTACGTGTTCCGGTGTCTTTTTGATGGCACTATAGGTATACCTACTGTGTTATTATAGGTACAGGGTGATCCCCTATAATGTCGCCCCCCTTTAAGTGTCCCAAAAAATGTATAAATGTGGTTATGTAGGTACTAAAAATTACTTTTTTTGTACATATAAAGAAAATTGGAAAATTGATCAGTATACAGCGAAAAACAAAAAGTTTATTTTTTTTAATGGATCACCATATATATATGTATTTATTTTTCGATTCCTGTTAAAATTCTAAGCATATTTCATATAACATACCATATACCTAAATTCAACCGTTTCTGAAATATTTAAATTATTTTTAAGATAATAAGTTGAAATAGTTAGTTTCTTTCTCTGTCTGAGTACGCCATTTTTACTTATTTAACAAGACATATAGACATAATGTCACTATAGTAATTTATTTTCAATACAAATTTTGGTATACTGAGGCTTCTTGATTTCAACAGTTTAAAAAAACATTTCGAATGCGAATATTTCAGAAACGGTTGAATGTACACTCACGTGCAAAATAATCGATCCACACAAATTTTCGATGAATTTCAATCGCAAAAAACTTTTTTATTTGATGTCGGATTTAAACGAATATTAAAGAATATTGTAGATAAATTAATGGACAATCGCTCACATTTTAAAAAAATACTAAAAAATAGACGTACGTTCATAATATACAGGTTTTAAACAAAAAGATGTTTTTTTACCATAAGTTTAAGACACTCTGTAGAGTGGCAAAACCGTATATTGTTCTAAATTAAGTTTTATTTATCAAGTCACATCTATTCTTAACAGTTTTGTTTTTGGTTCACCTCGATATATTTATTTTTGTGGAAAATAGAGATTTTTTTAAAAAACATTGCAATTTCCAATATTTTTCTGTATGAAGAACTAAGGTTGCTATGGTCCATCCATAGGCTGTGGAGAATGACAGTGACAGTTTTGTTGAATCATCCCATACTTAGACATGTCATACACGGCTTTCAAAAGCTATCAAATTGTTTTTTGCAAATTAATGTTTAAATTTTGAGGTGTCTTCTTACTTTATAAAATGGATATGTCTCCGACTGATGTTGCCAGAGCTATTAATTTAATCCAGGATGGACGGTCACAGTATTACGTGGCAAGTGTTTTAAACGTCATAAGAAGTAAAGTACAAAGGGCAACATCAGTCGGAGACATTTTTAAAAGTAAGAAGACACCTCAAAATTAACACATTAATTTACAAAAAACAATTTGATAGCTTTTGAAAACTGTAAATGGGGCAAAATTTACCAAGTGTACCAGGTGAAAAAAATTTTGTCACCGATTTTGTTTAAACTTTACTTATTTGTTGTTCTTATAACGAAGAATCATAGCATAAATTTTTTTTGCTCTAGAATTGTTCATTCAAGAGTTATGGATTATTGAAATTGATCGATTTTTTTACTTTTTGGTGAAATCGCTTTTTATTTAAAAATTCATAACTTCTGTTCATCTCTTTATTAAATATTTCAATTTAACCACCTTAAATGATTTTTTCCGTACTTTTCAATGGGCTAAACCGTTTTTGCAAAAAAATAAAAATTGCAATTTTTTATTGGAATTTTGCAAAATTTTGCATTTTTTGAAACAATGTGTATTTTTGAATTTTTTTTTAAATAGCATTAAATCCAAGTTTATTATGTTACCTTTGAATAAAAAAAAAATTTAGAGTGGGCCCGACATGTAGAAGGGAAGTTTTTCATATTTGAATGCGTGCGGGTCTAGCCATCGAATAGCTACTACACTGCCGTATGCGTTTATACCCAGTAGATGCGAGTAAACGAATACAAAATGATAATTTAAAATGTAAAATTATGTTTGAGTAGTCAATGATGTATTTTAAATATTTACACTGCCGCACGATATAGTTTTTTAACTGTATTTTTTTGCACAAATTGTTTAAGCATGGGTCTACATAGATTTCGCAAGGAGTATCGATGATATTAAATAAAAAATTTATTGTTATAACCGTAACGGCTTGCCTATAAGCTGAATGGCGCCTTTACGGTTATAACAATTCATTTTTTATTTAATATCATCGACCCTCCTTGCGAAATCTATGTAGACCCATGCTTAAACAATTTGTGCAAAAAAATACAGTTTATATACAAAAGTGCTCTTTTAGTTACACCCTTACTTCTTA